GGCAATGGTTGATCGTCTATGCAGCCCTACCGGTAAACCAATGGCTGCACACCAGACGGAAAGCCACAAATCCTAACAGTTCGGAGCTATGTACAGTCTGTACCGAAGGTGTGGTAGAAGATGTAGTTAACTGTCTGGTGCTCTGCAAAGAGGCGACCGAATACTGGGCCAGAGCTTCTTCACTTTGGGATTCCCTCTTCATCCCCCTTCCCTGAACAACCCATCCAACTGCTCCTCTTGACTAACATCCTTGATATGGCACGAAAGGCAGAGAGTATTTGGTTCGAACTCATAAGGAAAGTGACCCTATGGATCATATGGAAAGAGAGATGCAGCAGATCAATTGAAGGGCGGTCCAATCCACGGGAGAAGGTGTGGATAGAAACCAGAACAATGATTCAAGCTGAGATTCTTTGCAGATGGCGGAAAGTCAGACAAGCCTGGACAGAGGACGAAGAATAGCGAAAGAAGGAAAGACTGAGTTTCCACAGGTGCTGGTTGATAGACGGCAAGATTGCTGAGATACGAGAGGACCGCATTTGCTGGAAAGAGTGGCATAATTCAGTCCCGGAAAAGGGTCCTCAACAGCAGACAACGCCAAACACCACAATCACATCTTGAGACTCTACGGAGGAGGGCAGTTCCACAGGAGCTCAGACGGCAGGGACTGAGATGATAGGGTGAGAAAATACGAGGAAGAGGAAGTCAGGATTACAGCCCAGGACAGGGTCTTATAATGGCCTCGGGAGATGGAACAGCAGGTGACAACACAGGAGTCGAAACGCGGCATAGGCCTAAAAAGAATACGGGCTGCATGAATATTAATGGGGGCCTCAAAGCAGGATCCTATAGCGAAGGACTGCCAACAAATGAACTCTCGTCAACTCCCACTTTCGTTTAGGGGATCAACGTGCAAGGAGACCTAGTCCAAGAAACAGGAGTACGGGAGCAAGTTCAACCCAAACGATTGGGGAAAAGGGGCATGCTGTCTAAGGGTTTAGGGTTTAAGGTGGTAACGGGGTGTACCAATGGAGGAAGGACTGATAAAATGGATCACGAGCAGGACATTGTAAGGGGACAGACACAGGTCGACAGGGACAATGGTTGAGCTCTTTCTAGGGGACATATCATTATCTGGCAGATCTACGCGCCAGGTCTGAGAGGAAAGAGAGGGTCAGGGCAAGCTGACAGTCAATCCTCCACTCAGGTGGAGCAATCAATACTGCTCAGGTGTTACATACTAGTGAATACTTCAACGAGTATGGGGCATAACCAAAGATCAACCAATATAGGATGAGCATGTATGCAACGGAAGTCTGATAAACGGACTGACTCACATAGACTGACTCACACAGATATCACTCCACACACAAACAATCGTGAGAGGGTGGGGTCTGAGCCATT